TGGATCTCCAGTAAGCATGCAGTACAGTGTCTAAAGCTGCAACGTCATGGGTCTTTTCTTTCTTGCTTTAAAAAAATATGATTTTGCCCTGGCTGGTTTGGCTCAGCGGTTGGAGCATCAGCCCGCGGACCAGAGAATTCCAGGTTCGGTTCCTGCTAGGGGCATGTACCAAAAAAATAAATAAATAAACAAACAAACAAACAAAATAAAACATTACCCTTTTAAAAAAAATGGCTGATTGTACCACCAAACCTTTTAAAAAAAATAAAATAAAATAATATGATTTTATCGATTTCAGAGAGAGGAAGGGAGGGGAAGAAACATCACTTGGCTGCCTCCTTCACGCCCCCCACTGGGGATGGAGCCGAAACCCTGGCATGTGTCCTGATTGGGAATCGAACCAGCGACCTCCTGATACATGGGACGACATCCAGCCAACTGAGCCACACCGGCCAGGGCACAAGTAGTTTTCTTGATCTTAAAACTTGATAGAACTGTAAGAAAATACGTGGCCCGTGAGTCCCGATTATTTATACAGATGATAGTTTAGGCATCTCGCAGCCGTCCACTGACGACGACAAGTTACTGCTTCCAAGGGCGGAAGGCAGCCCCTGAGTTGGCCAGTGAGGTGCGCTCTGCGCCACCTGCAGAGGGTGTCGGCTTCCTCTCGGGTCCTCGCTCGGAGGGGCAGAGCCATTGCACGAACGGCATGTGTCGTGTCAGGGGCAGCCTGTCCACCTCTAGCAGCACGTCGATGGCTTACGGGACCTGTGACGCAAGGCAAGGCCAGCACGGCCTTGGACGGACGGAGATCCCGAATGGGTGTTTGCGTCTTGAAACGACAGCTTCCAGGAGTTCCACCGTGAACCACTTACCTTCCTTAGACCGTTTGCGGGATCAGTATCCAGGCCCACTGCGCAGACCTCTGCCCGCGAGAGCTGCCGTCTACAGCAGCCAGTTCAGTGGCCTGGGACCTGTTCCGCGATGTGCTCGTCTCGAGGTTTACGGAAAACAGAGGTCACAAGTGTCACACACACACACACACACACGCCCGTCGTACCACCAGCTCGTTCTTGCACAGAGCTCTTGTGGAGTCTTTCTTTACGATCTCCTTTATTTAAAGGCGACGGTGCGTTTTTCTGTGTGAGCGGTTGTGCAGGGTGCCCTGGGGGTTCAGCTGTTTGAGGAGACACTGAAGGAAGTGAGGTTCCGCCTGGGTCTTGAATGTTAATCCACCGTGGGACCTGAGAGGCAAAGGAGCGTAAGAGACAACCCTGATCAGAGAGGCCCTTCGGGTACCCCAGCGAGTCGGTGACTTCGAGAAGCAAGGAGAGCAGTCGGGAAGTTGGGGTAGCTGTCCAGGTCTCCCCTGGAGCCGTCCAGGTATGGGTGTTAATGAAGGCCTGAGCCGCCCACCCTTGCATTTGAAGAGGGAGGGGGATGGATGGAAAGAGACCCACAGAGAATGCCTCAGTCCTGCTGGTGATGGGAAGACCGAGTGTCCGGAACTTAGAGATCTCCATCTCTGCTGCGGGCTCGGGGCAGAACAGCCTAGTTCAGAGTGCGCCCTGTGTCTTGATGCCGGAGGCTCTACGCTCTGCAGGGCCTCCCCGCCTTGAACGTGGGAGCGGGTGGTGCCGGCCATGGTCTCTTATCCCTACCCCCCACCCCAGAACTTCACCTTTCTTTGCTGACATCCTGTTCCTCCACATTTAACTCCCGTTGCTGCCATGAAAGACACAGGAACATAGTACTGTGTCACGTAACTGGATAATTACAATAAAGTGGGGTCGTTCCAGTCAAGCCCAACGCCATCCCTTGTCATTATAACACACGCACAATTACCGAGGATATTTTTCCTTTTTTAAAAAATCTTCAGATAGAGTGGGAGGGGGAGAGAGAGAGAAACATAGATGTGAGAGAGACACAACGACTGTTTGCCTCCCATACAACCCCGACCAGGGTCGGAGACCAAACTGCAACCAAGGGATGTGATCTTGAACAGAATCGAACCTACAACTCCCTGGTCTTCAGGCCGCCGCTCCAACCGCTGAACCAAAGTGGCCAGGGCGAGCAGGCTAATTTTTAAGATGATCATTTTGTATGGGTCGTGAATGATGTTATATAAATATCCAAATGGTCCTTGGCAAAAAAAAGGTTCCCCACTCCTGATGGTCCTTAGTACAACATTTTTTCTGTTCTCCTTTTTGTTTTATATGTGATTCATTATATACATGATTTTCTTAATTTTATTAGCATATGTATGCCAAATGGCCAGCAGCAGAACTCAGTATCTACAGTGAAACACTTGCTATATTAAACAAAAAGTTTTTTTTTTCTTTATTGATGTTATTGATTCTAGAGAGAGAGGGAGGAGAGATGGAAACATTGATGAAAGAGAACATCGACTGGCCGCCTCCTGCATGCCCCCCACTGGGGATCAGGCCCACAACCTGGGCACGTGCCCTGACTGGGAATCGAACTGGCGACTTCTTGGTACATGGGTCACCGTCAACCACTGAGCTACACTGGCCGGGCAACACCTGCTGTATTGATTGACTCTGTGAAGGTATCTTCCAAGGATGTACATTTCAGGGCTGGCCAAGGTAAAATTATTATTTTTTAAGTCAGAAAAAGAATTCTGAAGGAATTCCAGGTGGTGTGTAATTCTCTAGAACAAAAGCCAAGCCTTTAAACAGCTGGAAGGAGAGGGGGAAATGAAGTCTTTTGGCCTTTGTTTGAAAAGAATACACTCCATGAGACTCAGCAGCGTTTTGGCCTCGTTACACATATTCAAACAAAGCATCATGATTCGGGTTAATTTTCTGTGAGTGGCCTTATTTGGGTGCGAATGAAAGTAGATACAAAATTAATGCTCTTTTCAGAAGGGTGTTCATTTCCATGTCAATGGAATATGTGGTCAATAAGGTTGAAATTTCTAGACTGAGGACAAAGTAAGTTGGACCTCAGGGACGTTAACAACTTGTGTGCTGTCAGACCTTTGTGCAGAGGGTGAAAGCCAACCATCTGTCTGGGGAAAGTGTTTGCAAAACATCTGTATGACAAAGGAACAGAATCCGGGATGCAGAAAACTCTCAGAATTCCACAGTAAAGAAGCGAATGGTTAGGAATTGGGCAAACAGATGCACAGATATTTTACCAAAAAAAGATACACAGATGGCAAATAAGCACATGAAAAAAATTGTTCTACATTAGCCATCAGGGATGTGCAAATGAAAACCACAGTGAAAAAGCACACACCTGTCAGAGTGGTTAAAATAAAAACGGTTATACCAGATGCTGGCAAGGATTCTGAAGAGCTGGGTTGACGCTGCTGCAGAAATGCAGAATGGTTCAGCTACTCTGGAGAATAATTGGGGCAGTTTCTTATCAAACTAAGCACGCAGCCCAGCCAGGTAGCTCAGCTGGTTAGAGCATCCTCCTGATACACAAAGGTGGTGGGTTTGATCCCCAGTCAGGGCATAGACAAGAACTAACCAATGAATGCATAAGTAAGTGGAACAACAAATCAAAGTGTTCTCCTCCTCTCTCTCAAGTCAATCAGTCAATAAATAAAAAAATATAAAGCTAAGCATGCAATTACCATATGACTCAGCAATTGTACTCATGGAAACTTATTCCAGAAAAATAAACACTTATGGGCACACAAAGACCTGTAAACAGATGTTCACGGCAGCGTCATTTGTAATTGCCCCAAACTGAAGAAACCCCAGATATTTCTCAGCTGGTGAATGATTAAACTGTGGTATATCAGTGTCATGTGGAATACTATTCAGGGAGGAAAAAGGAACTATCCGTTCACCCAAAGCTGAGATGAATGTTGAGGGAGTTGAGCTGAGCGAAGACAGCTGTCTCGAAAGGTGACGGCTGTGTGATTGGACTTCTGTGCCATCCTTGTGATGACAAAATTATAGAAATGGAGACTAAAGGAAAGGCTGACATGTTGAGAAAGAGATTGAGTGGGGGACACAGAGAGAGAGAGATAGGTGTACCTATAAAAAAGCAATAAGCTGTGTGTGTCGGGGGCGGGGGGGTCCTTATAGTGATGGGAATATTTTGTCTCGGCTGTAATTGTCCTGGTTGTGACATTGTGCTGTGGTTTTGTGAAATGCTGCCGTTGGGGGGAGTTGAGTTAAGGGTACACTGGATCTCTCTGTATGACTTCTTATAACTGCTGGCAAATCCGTCATCTCGAGGTACAAAGTTTCATGTAAAATCTGACATTTTCTTCAATACTTCGCACGTGTTACGTTATAGTTTGTGACTGTGCTGACGATTTCAGGATTTTCTCTGACAGTGATTCCTGATAATCACCCAGACTGCAAGATAATTCATTTAGTGTCTAAGAATAATTAGATCTCCACTGTAGAAAAAGAAACACATGGATCTATATTTAAGGCCAGGTTTTTTGTTTGTTTGTTTTACTTACTAGATTACTGTTTTGTTTCTTATAAAAGATTATAACTCAGAAACAGCCAGATGGGAGAGATGCATGGGGCCAGGTGTGGGGGAGGGGGAGCTTCCGTACCTGCTCCAGGTGGCATCCCCCCAGTGTCCCAGGTGCATCAACTGGAAGCTCTCCAAACCCTGTCCTTGTTCTTTTTAGATAAAGTAGAAGGGAGCGAGGGAGGGAGAGAGACAGAGAAAACATCGATGTGAGAGGCACATGGATGAGTTGCCTCCCGCATGCCCCCGACCAGGCTGGGATCGAACCTGCAACCCAGGTATGTGCCCTTGACTGGGAATCAAGCCCAAGACCCTTCTGTCCACAGGCTGACGCTCTAACCACTGAGATCACCAGCCAGGGCTGTCCTTGGATTTTTATGGAGGCTTTGATCCACAGGCGGGTTAAGGCCAGTTTTGATTATGAAAAAAAAAAAAAAATCCCCAAAGTGACACCTCCAAGAAGTGGAGGAGTTGGCGCCCCGGCTCTGGACAGGACGGGAGCACGAGGCTGACCCCTGCGTCTCTGCTCACAGGACCTCCTCTTCAGCGTGTGCGCCCTCAACGTCCTCGCCACCATCGTGTGTGCGTTGGCCACGGCCATGTGCTGCATGCAGATGGTGTCCTCCGATGTCCTGCGCATGGTGAGTGCCCCTCCCCCGCGCTCGCGGGCAGGCGCCTGGGCCCCTCCTCTGGCCAGGCGGACAGCCACGTGGTAGAGGGGACACTGTGGCTTCCTGATGGCCCCTGGTGGATGTCAGCACTGGCTGCCCTCGGGAAGTCGGAATTTGCACATGGGGTGCCATGGATGTGTGTGTTTGAGGGTGGGCAGAGTCTTGCCACCTCGGCCTGTGCCCCTGCGTGATCCTAGTGACGGTCCTGTAGTCCTGACATCCCCTGAGCCCCGAACCTCCTTTTTCCGGCTCAAGAACCCCCTTTTATTATTATTACTTTTTAAATCCTCACCCCAGGATATTTTTCCATCTATCTTCAGACAGAGTGGGAGAGAGGGAGGGAGTGGGACAGAGAGAGAGAGAGAAACATCGATGTGAGAGAGACACATCGACGGGTTGCCTCCCGCACGAACCCCGACCAGGGCCGGGGATGAACTGAGGTACGTGCCCGTAACCGAAACCAAACCCGAGACTCTCTGGTCCGTGGGCTGGCGCTCTGACCACTGAGCAGACCGGCCAGGGCCAGAATCCCCTTTGAATACAGGAAGGTCGTCTAGAGGGTGAATTCTTCTCAAATTCAGACACTGCTCCCCTGGGCTGCTCGGACGTGCGGGTTAACCCTGAGTTCTGTCCAGGGGCGGGTGACGCCCTCCGTCATTGAGCCTCTGGCCAGGGTCCGACAGGAAACACTGCTGCTGCCTTGGAGCAGGAAGAGGTCAAGAACGGGTCACCCACTTGTTCCTTCTCCCTTGATGGAGCCCAGCCCACGGGTCAGTGTGTCACCACTAAAGTTGGCACCATAGAAACGGAGAGGAAGATGCTGGTTTGTGATGCTGTGGATAGGAATTCTCTGTGTCTCTGTCTCTGTGTCTCTGTCTCTGTCTGTACCCCTCTCCCTGCCCCTCTCCCTCCCCCCTCAAGACCTACCTGCCTCCTCCACGGTGTTTTCTGCATCTCATGAAAGAACAAGTCGTAGTCGTCTGTTTTATTTGTTTTCTCGTCCACCCGGTGGCAGTTCATTGGTCACTCAAGATACAGGGCCAGGGAGCATCATGACCGGACGTTAAAAGTCACTGATCCTAATCCCAGGCCTCGCAGGGCGTGTCCGCACAGCCGCGGCCGCCGGGGCGCTTGCCGGGGGCTCCCGGTTCCGAGGCGCCGGGTCCACGGTTCCGAGGTGGAGCTGGCCTTGCAGCCTTGCTCGGCGGGGCCTCCCGGAGCTGGCTCCCGGCGCCATGGGCAGGAGAGGTTAGGCCAGGAGTCCTCACCTGGCGGGGTTTGCTCTCGGGCTGTAAATGCAGAAGCTTGGCATTCCCTGGTTGGAAGCAGCAAACGGAAATGACCCACTAAACGAGAATGAAGGCTGTCGTAGCCACAGAGCTGTGCCCTTACAGCAGGTGACTCGGGACTGGCCCCTGAACCTCCCCTATGATGCGGATCTAATGAGGTAAATGAAGGGGATACCAGTTTGTCATTGGCACGTGGCAGCGGTGACCGTGGCTTCGGGGTCCCGTGTCCTCCATCCACGGTGCAGCACGACATGGAAGTTCAGTGCTGCGCGTGGTCAGAGCCACAGCTGATTCCATGGCAACGTACTTTGTGGTGAGGATGCTAAACCCTGGCCCGGAAGGAGAAGCAGATGAGATGGGGTGTCCCTCTCCCTCTGTGACCTCGGCTGGGGACAGGCAAGGTTCTGCTGCCCCTCTGAGGCCCTGGCTGCACTGCTGACCTGCCGGAGCCACGGGGTGTGGGACCCTGGCCCCTTGTGCGACCCCTGGGTGGCCTTGGGCACATCACCACCTGTTTGCCCTGGTTTCCAGTGCCCTGAACAGACCCCTCACGCCCTGCTGTCCTCACAGGGCCGCTGGCAGGATGCATGAGATGATAGGCTGACTGGGCTTTGAAAACGTGTGGTGGCCCAGCCCGCGTGGCTCAGTGGGTGGAGTGTCACCCCAGGACTGAGAGGTCCTGGTTCGATTCCAGGTCAGGGCACATGCTCAGATTGCAGGCTCGACCCCCAGAAGGGGGCATGCAGGAGGCAGCCAATCGATGTTTCTACATCTCCCTTCCTCTCCCTCTAAAAAATCAATTAAAAAATATTTAAAAAAGAAAAGAAAGTGTGTGGTGGCCACGTGAGGTCAGAGGCTGCACCACGCCAGCCACACAAGCTGTGCCCAAGATGTGGGACCACCTGAGGGGCTTGTGGTTACACCGTGAGGGGGGACCCAGAACTGAGTCACTCATCAGGGAGCCTGAGAACCTTTTTTTAATTAAAAAAATTCTTTTTTTCCAGCTTTATTGAGATGTAATTGACTCATTTTCTTACTTCATTTCATTAGACTCTTTAATTAAAGAAGTAATATTCAACCAGTGAAGCAAATAAAATATGGGGATATACAAAGAAAAAGTTAACAATCTCCCTTTTTTCACGTTGTTCTCCTAAGCAAACTGTGCCATGAACCCTTCCATGTCTTGGTTTCTCAGAGCTTCTGTTAACATGTATAAATGATCTACCTTTTTCCCCTCCCTCCAACTCTCTCTCTCCTTCTCTGTCTTCCTGTCATTTATTCCCTCCTTTTAGCCAAAATGGAATCACACCATGCATATTATTCTGCAACTTGATTTTTTAAATACGTATTTATTGATTTTTTTTTTTAGAGAGGAAGGGAGAGAGAAACATGGATGTGAGAGAGAAACATCAATCGGCTGCCTCCTGCACGCCCCCTACTGGTGATGGAGCCCAAAACTCAGGCATGTGCCCTGACCGGGAATCGAACCGGGACCTCTCAGTCCATGGGAGGACACTCAATCCATTGAACCACACTGGCCAGGCTGCAACTTGATTTTATAATCCAACAATATCATGAGAAGCCTTCTAGGTCAATACTTGGAGCGATGTTTTAATATCTGCCTTGCGCCACGTCAGAAATGAAGCCAATTATTTTAGTCTTTTTTGCCGATGCTCAAGTTGTTTCCTGGTCTTGACTTTTGCTTCTGGTTGCGTCTCTGCACATGGTGCTAAGTAAGGTCCTGTACGTGCAGTTAGTGTTCTCGCAACCAACCAGGGATGAGACCCTGGCCAGACAGCCACACATCTCCATCCCGCCGCGAAGACCTGTGCCCCTGCCCAAGCACAGCCCTGCTGGGGACCTCTGCAGGTCCCCAGTTCAGCTATCTGGTCATCAGCCTTCCAAGAGACTGTCATGTCTGGCCCCAAACCAGTTTATACCAGTGGTATTCGAATGACAAACGCATATTCAATATAATCCAGTGAAATACGCGTTCAAACAGATACTTATTCCTATGACAACAGAGGTGAGTACTTGGGGACAATTCAGGCAGAGCGGGTCACTAAACACATTGCTGCCGCTGAGATGTTGGGATGGAAACGGACAAAATTCTAGGGGTTGTCAGCACACACGTTCGGGGAATAGTGGCGAAAAGCAAGCCACCGGCAAAACTCAGTGCGTTGAGATAGTTAAGCGGAGAAAGCTTTTGCCACCAAAGTATCTGTTATCTCCTGTCTCTAGTTTTATTTCTTAGGTGTAGTCTCATTTTCCATTTTTTGTTTCACTGGACTCTCTCTCTCCTCACTTGAGCATCAGCCTGCCCTCACCTCTGTCTCCATTAGGCGCTGGCTGACTCAGTGGGTCCTTTAATGTTGTCCCTTGTCTTCTCGTAAAGCAGAACTCTCAGAAAGGGCAGACAGGGCTCTGTGCCCTTCACAGAGGTGGTAGCTGGGGGCTGGTGCACAGAGCTAGTCAGGGGTCAGGGGTCAGGGAGAGACGCACTCCGCCCCTGGCAGCCCCAGCATCTCAGTTCACAGTGTCTTCACCGCCCGGTTCGCCCTGGTGCTGGGCCAGCTCCCCGCTGTGGCCGATCTCCGGGGACCCACAGTGACTTTCCATGAGGTCTGGATTCAACAAGAATGTCACTGGGTGGTGGGTGCTACGTGTCTATCAGACTAGGACCGATGGGGGTCTGGTGATTCTAACAAGCTAGTTACAGCAGACAGTTATAGAAATGATGCATACATAGCATGGACATTGTATTTCGGCTTCAAATGTGCGAATGATCATTTGTCCACCAATTGTTTTTTAAATATATTTTCATTGATTTTTTTTTTTTAATGCTCACCCGAGGACATTCTTTTCCATTTTTTGTTCAGATAGAGTGGGAGGGAGAGAGAGGAAGAGAGAGAGAGAGAAACATCGACATGAAAGGGACACATCGAGTGGCTGCCACCCACACAAACAACCAGGGCCGGGGACAGACTGCAACTGAGGTACGCGCCCTTAGCGGGAACTGAACCTGGGTCTCTCTGGACCGCAGGCCGATGCTCTAACCGCTGAGCAAAACCAGCCAGGGCTATTTTCATTGATTTTTCTAGAGAGAGAGGAAGGGAGAGAGAGAGGTAGAAACATTGATGTGAGAGATACATCAATCAGCTGCCTCCTGCACGCCCCCTACTGGGAATCGAGCCCACAACCCAGGCATGTGTCCTGACCAGGAATTGAACTGGGACCTCTCAGTCCATGGGACGATGCTCAATCCACTGAGCCACACTGGCTGGACAGTCCATCAATCTTTTGATCAGAGGTCATAATCTTCTCTCTTTTTTTCTTATCCTTAGCCAAGGACATTTTTGCATTCATCTTTAGAGCGAGAGGGAGAAAGGGAGGGGGAAAGAGAGAGAGAAACATCAATGTGAGAGAGACACATCAGCTGGCTGCCACCCACACGACCTTAACCAGGGCCGGGGACAAACTGCAACCGAGGCACATGCCCTTAACGGGAACCGAATCCGGGCCTCTCTGGACCGAGGGCCATGCTCTAACCGCTGAGCCAAACCAGCCAGGGCCATAATCTTCCTTTGATCTACGGGTTTGTTTGGCGCAGCAGGTTGTATTTCTTGCGTGAACTTGATGGAAATCGCACCAGCTGTGATTCCCAGGTCCAGTTCCTTTGCCGTGGAGGGCGACCCGGAGAGAGGGGAGCGCAGACCACCCCTCGGTGTCTGTGGTTCTCCGCTCTGGGCCAGCCGCCTTGCCGGGACCTCCCTTGGCCATCGTTTCTGCTTAGCTACCCTCCTTTATAGTCTTTCCAGAAGGTTCCACGTGGTTCTCATAGAACACGCAGGTTGTCCTGTCTGCATTCATAGTTCATGATGAATTGCCATAGTGACTGGCATGGCCTTAACCTGGTCGGGAACGCAGCCCTGTGGCCCTGGGTCGGCGCCGCTGACCTGGGCGAGGTGGCAGGACCAGTGAGCAGCAGGGCCCCTGGGTGGGCATCGTGCCAGCGTCTGGAGAACTCAGCTCTCTGGTGGGTGGACGACGAGAGCCCATTAAGGAAACTACTCTAGTAATAGTCCTGCCGATTCCTACCGAGTCTCTGGAAGGCGGGAAGAAGGCGGCTTTCCCCGTATGTTTTACAGAAAACCCCAAAGGTGTGTGTGAGCCATTCCGGCTCCAGAACGTGGCGGAAATGCTGGGAGAATTCGCCCCTGTTCTCCCGTGAACCAGAGAGGGCAGCTGTGGTCAGGTGCCCAGGGTGGAGTGTAAAAGGGGGCTAGCAGCCATCCAGGGGCCTGGAAGAGAAGCAGCTACTGAAAACTCAAAGTTGTTCCTGGAATTCCCAGCCCCTGGTCTCCAGACCCCTGGGGCCTGCCCTGCCCCTCTTTTCTGTCAAGACCCAGGCAGGAAAAGAACTTGCCCCTGGGATTTCAACACAGTTAACAGGGGAGCTGGTTACCGAGTGTAGCCCTGGGGTCACACAGACCCCAACAACTGGGCAGGCAGCTACCACCCTCTGGGGTTGGGAGAACAGAAGGGGGAAGTGGGGAAGGATCAGAGTCACAGGAACACCATGGTCCTGCCTGCCTTCCAGACTCCATCTAGCGCCCCCTGCTGGCGGAACCTAACAGGGCGCCAGCTGCAAGGGAGTCGGGGAAATGTGGTTTGCAGACTTCTGGCCCAGGCATCTCATACATTGCAGAGCTGGAGGCCTGGGGCTTTGAGACAGACTCTGCCTCTTTAAACAGGTACTGATGGGGGGGTGGGGGGACATCAGGCATGACTTGCAGGTTGCCACTGTGGGGGCTGAGGAGCCAAAATAAAAGGCTCAATTGGAAACAAAGTGAGTCTGAGATGCCAGCACCCCACTGGGAAGGTGATCCGAAGTTTAGGGCAGAAAAGGAGCCTGTCGCTTAACCTTTAAAAAGCCCCTGGTGTATGACAGTCACTTAGCTCAACCTGCTAATGGGATCGTCCCCACGGCTCCCCTCTCGTGAAAATGCTTGTTCTCCTTCCTGGTGGAATTGCACCTTTCACAGGAAGGTGTTCTCGTTTTTGCATTTCACGCTTAAGTATGTCATTGATTTTTCTAATTTCTCTAGACTAATTCAAAATGCTCCCTATTAGACCTCAAAGACATGTGGCTTCCTCCCAGCTGCTCAGCCGTGTGCAGGAATAAGCACCAGGGCAGATGGCTTTCCAGGTGGAGGAGCACAGACCCACCTGCACCAGCCATCGAGCCGCGGCTGGTTCAGACAGTTGCACACACAGCCGAGGGGAGACCAGCACCAGGCTCTGTGGGAAGGAGAACCCAGGAGCCAGTTCAGCCTGATGTGTCGCTGGGACCTGGCCCCACTCCTTCTCCATTAGCTCAGAGCTCGCTGCTGTCAGAACATTTGATCGTGTCCACATCGTGACCTCAGCCACACTTGTGCATAAATAAACGTTCTGCCTTCCAGCCTCTGTCCACTCCAGACCACTCTCCTCGCTGCCACCAGAGGGCACTTGATCATGCAGTGATAGCGCTGCTCCCGGCTCTAGAACCCTCGCTGGCTCCCCAGGACCTCCCGAATTAGTAGTTAACTTCTAGAGCCTTACCTAAATTTGCTTGACTTTTTTTGTTAATCCTCACCCCAGGATATTTTTCCCCATTGAGTTTTAGATAGAGTGGAAGGGAGGGAGGGAGGGAGAGAGAAAAACATCGATTAATTGGTTGCCTCCCACATGACCCCAACTGGGGCCGGGAATCGAACTTGCAACCCAGGTATGTGCCCTTGACCGGGAATCGAACGCACGACCCTTTGGTCCTCAGGCCAGTGCTCTCTAAACGCTGAGCCACACCAGCCAGGCTGTTTTAAAACACATCTTTCGCCCTGGCCGGTTTGGCACAGCGGTTGGAGCGTCGGCCTGTGGTACTGAGAGACCCGGGTTCGGTTCCCGCTAAGGGCACGTACCTCGGTTGCAGTTTGTCCCCGGCCCTGGTTGGTCGTGCGGGTGGCAGCCACTCGATGTGTCCCTTTCACATCGATGTTTCTCTCTCTCTCTCTTCCTCTCTCTCCCTCCCACTCTATCTGAACAAAAAAATGGAAAAATGTCCTCGGGTGAGGATTAAAAATAAATAAATAAATAAAACACATCTTTCACTAGCTCAGTAGTGCTCTTGAGCCCGGAGCACATGGCTGCAAGCCCACCCTTTGAAATCCTGCTAGTTTGTCAGACCCATTCAAATGGCATCTTCTCCCTAACCCTTTGTAGACCCTGATTCCCACGCCGTGTTCGGAGACTCGTTTCCGCATGGAAGGGCCCTTGCCTGGCCGTGGACTGTTGGCTTTGGTCCTGGCCTCGCCCACCCCTCACCCCCGGGCAGTGGGAGGTCTCAGGTAGCACAGGGTCTTTCCGCAGCTGTAGCGGTGACACCTTGATTGGAGCTGGAGAAGCAGTTCAGGCTTCATGTCACAGGCAACCTCTGGGGAGCGGTGACCAGAGGGTGGAGAGAGAAGTTATGGATCAGTGCTGTCAATGGGCAGAAACGGAAACCAGGTGGAGGCAGCGTCCATCTTGTTTGATTGTCACCTCGATTTGCTCTAAAGCAAGCAACTCAGTTTTGTTTTGTTTTGATCCTCACCTGAGGACATCTTTCCATTCATCTTCAGATAGAGTGGGAGGGAGGGAGACACAATGAGAGAGACACTTTGATTGGTTGCCTCCTGCACAACCCCAACCAGGGCCAGGGACTGAACCACAACCTAGGTACATATCCTTGACCAGAATCGAATCTGAGACTCTTTAGTCTGCTACTGACGCTCTAACCACTGAGCAAACCAGCCAGGGCAACAAGCAGCTCAGTTTGTTTGTTTTTTAATCCTCACCCGAGGACATTTACCTGTTTTTTGTACGGATAGAGTGGGAAGGAGAGAGAGAGAGAGAGAAACATCGACGTGCAAGGGACACATCGAGTGGCTGCCACCCGCACGACCCATCCAGGGCCGGGGACAAACTGCAACCAAGGTACATGCCCTTAGCGGGAACCGAACCCGGGTCTCTCTGGTCCGCAGACCGACATTCCAACCGCTGAGCCAAACCGGCCAGGGCTCAGTTTTAAGGTTGCCCCGTAGAATGTTCTGGAGCTCATGAAGGATTCTTTTCCCTCAAAGCACTGTTTTACCCAGTATGTGAATTCCCTAGAACTGTGAAATATTAATAGGGACTCTGTGTCCAAGGGGACCCATGATGACATTGTGAGAAGTGCCCCCTCAGTGGGCTAACACGTGAATGGATTTTCCACGCAGGTCTCCTTAGGGCCTTTAATGTACCAATGTACGTCCCAGGCCTCCAGGAACAGCCTGTACTGGGTGGGGTTTCCCAAACTTATTTCACTGTGGAAACTTGGGAGGGGCTGGAAAGGACCACCTTGAGGGTCTGATGTTTTGTCACGAACACGCTTTAAAAAGTGCTGTCTTTTTTTAAAATATGTTTTTATTGATCTTTTAGAGAGAGGAAGGGGAAGAGAGAGAGAGAGAAACATTGATGTGAGAGAGACACATTGATTGGCGGCCTCCTGCACGCCCCCTGCTGGGGATGGAGCCTGCAACCCAGGCATGTGCCCTGACCAGGAATCGAACCGGACCTCTCAGTCCATGGGACGGCACTCCATCCACTGAGCACCCCTGGCTGGGTTAAAAGCGCTGTCTTAACCCGGGGACAGCTGGCACCGTGTCACCACAGGCTTTGGGAGGACGATGGAAAGATGCAGGCTTAGAGGTAGGAACGTGATTAAGGACGTACTGCCCAGGCAGCATGGGAAACAGCAAAGGAGGCTTCGGGTGCGAGGTGTCCTCATGGAGCCATCGTTTTAAAATGCGTGTTTAGCCCTGGCCAGTTTGGCTCAGCGGTTAGAGCGTCGGCCCACGGACCAGAGAGTCCCAGGTTCGGTTCCCTCTAAGGGCATGTACTTTGGTTGTGGTTTTTCACTGGCCCGGGTTGGGGTCGTGTGGGTGGCGGCCAGTCCCTGTGTCTCTCTCATGTCGATGTTTCTCTCTCTCTCACCCCCTCTCTCCCTCCTGCTCTATCTGAAGATAAATGCAAAAGTGTCCTTGGGTGAGGATAAAAAAATAAAAAATAAAAATGTGTGTTGAGCTGCAAGGCTTGACAGTTTAAATGACGTAAGTTCCAAACGGCTCCTTAAAGCTTATGTGTAATTAGCCCAATTACAGGCCACAGAAGGTGCCCCCAGTAACTCTGAATGTCTGTGTTCTAGTTCCTTCCACAGAGGGCACACTCCACCAGCCCTGCCTGCCTGACCCCCCATGGCACCGTTCTCCACCAGACCCTGGACTTCGATGAGTTCATCCCCCCTCTGCCCCCTCCCCCGTACTACCCTCCCGAGTACACCTGCACACCCACGGCCGAGGCCCACAGGTGGGTCTGTCCCTCGATGTCTCCACGCTCACTTTCGTGGGGAGCTGGAGCCACGAAAGCATGTTTGATGAGAGAGCAGCGCCCAGCGAAGGGAAGAGTTTCCATCTTTGCAGAGAGACCGAACCAACACCCAGGCAGACAACAGCAGCTCTGTTCCGCTCTCGGGAAGCCCAGAACCACTATTGAGTTACAGCCGTTAATAGAACACAGAAATGTTAATTAAAGATCGCGTCAGCTGTGGGAGCATTTCAGTCTTCAGACAGGGCCATCGGGTTGGGAAACGGTGTTATCTTTTCAGAAAACAACAGCTAAAACTGCCGAGTGAATTAGGCTCTTATTTCGCAAACACGATGAGCATGGGGGGGGGGGGGCGACAAGTGATGTTCCGATGGCTTTGGGAGAAGTGTCATCGTTCGGGCTCCTCCCCAGTGAGTGACAGTTGATGGCTCTGCCTTCTCAGGGGCCTCCACCTGGACTTCGCTCCCTCTCCGTTCAGCACTTTGTATGATGTTGCCATCAACAGCCCGGGCCTGCTCTACCCCGCTGAGCTCCCCCCGCCGTACGAGGCCGTGGTGGGCCCGACCCCGGCCAGCCAGGTGAGCCCCGGCTCTGTCGTCAGCCCTCTGTCCTGGGGCCGGCTGCCGGCATCGGTCTATCAGCCTTTCAGCGAGCCTGTGGGATGGGAGTCGCACTGTCCCTGAGGTGGGAGGAGGCTCAGAGGGCAGAACCTGGGGTCCAACCCCAATATTTGTGCCTTTTCCCCGTGGTGCCCCTCAGGCATGTCCAAGCCTAACGCTGGCCCGTGTGTCTGGGACACAACATAGAAACTGACACAGAGCACGGAACTTGGCACTCGGCTCTGATTTGCCGGAGGTCACTTGTCACAGCTTCCTCGAAGGGAGAGAGGGGCTCGACTTACTCATCTCAATGCTGCCTGGCTTTTTGTTTTAATTTTCTTTCTTTCTTTCTTTCTTTTTTTTTTTATCCTCACCCAAGGACATTTTTTGATTTTTTTGTTCAGATAGAGCGAGAGGGAGAGAGAGAGAGAAACATCGACGTGAAAGGGACACATCGAGTGGCTGCCTCCCGCACGACCAACCAGGGCCGGGGACAAACTGCAACTGAGGTACATGCCCTTAGCGGGAACCAAACCCGGGTCTCTCAGGACTGCAGGCTGACGCTCTAACCGCTGAGCCAAACCGGCCAGGGCTGTTTTAATTTTCTTTATTGATTTTAGAGAGAGAGGAAGGGAAAGGGAGAGAGAGAAACATCGATGAGAGAGAACATGGATCGGCCGCCTCCTGCATGCCCCCCACTGGGGATCAGGCCCACAACCTGGGCATGTGCCCTGACCGGGAATCAAACCGGCGACCTCTTGGTGCAGGGTCGACGCTCCACCACTGAGCCACACCGGCCGGGCAAGGTCAACTGGCTTTTTAATTACAGTAACAGGTCAGAAGAGCGTCGTCTGGGCGACAGAAAGCAGCCTTTGAGCGCCCGATGGTTACCCCGGGGTCTCTCTCCAGCAGCCCATCCCCCGTCCCGTAGGCGCTCTGTTCTGGCCGCGATGCCAGACTCGGTTGCAGCTGCACGTCGATGCCGCAGATGCACCTTCCTCCGTCATGCCCACTGCCCCTCCTGGCATCGGAAAGGGGCGAGAACCGAGCCGCCGCGCCCCACGGCTGGCGTGCGGCGAGGTGGCTTCGGACATCGGGCCAGGCCGAGGCCGAGTGCAGCCCTGACACCGGGTTGTGAGAGCCGATAGACACGCTCTCAGGAGCTGTCTCCTTGTGAAATCCAGTTTGACCGGGAGCCAGGGATGCTCGCTCCTGCCAAATGCGAAACGAGTCCAATTTCCTGCTGACCTTGGCCTGCCGGGCATTTCATTTCTCTTGTTTTATTTATATTTCTTTATTACCAGAAGCCTGCTTTCGGGCAGCAGGTCTCAGACTGGTCACCCACCTCTGCGGGAGGGTCACAGCGGGGCTGCCTCACCTTCCCCCCTCCCTCGGGCCTCGCGTTCATCGCAGACACGGCCCCAGAGCGACTCTGAGATAGTCTGAGGATTCAGAATTATTATTATTATTATTATTATTATTTTTTATCCTTACCCGAGGACATTTTTTGTTCAGATAGAGTGGGAGGGGGGGAGAGAGAGAGAGAAACATCGATGTGAAAGGGACACATCGAGTGGTTGCCACCCATACGACCCAACCAGGGCCGGGGACAAACTGCAACCAAGGTACATGCCCTTAGCGGGAACCAAACCCGGGTCTTTCCACACCGCAGGCCGATGCTCTAACCGCTGAGCCAAACTGGCCAGGGCCAGAATTATTTTTTATTTTATTATTATTTTTTTTAATCCTCACCCGAGCACATTTATCTATTTATCTTCAGGTAGAGCGGGAGGGAGAGAGAGAGAAACATCGACTGGTTGCCTCCTGCACGACCCAAGCAGAACCGAGAGAAACCGCAACCGAGGTACATGCCCTTGACCGGAATCGAACCCATGACTCTTTGGTCCATGGGCCGACACTCTAACCGCTGAGCCAAACCGACCAGGGCTTATTTTTTCTGCTGAGCGAGCGCCGGGCTCAGGGTGCAGTCTTCATCACGTTCAGGCACACGGCCTGGGTGGGGCCATGGAACAGAGGCACGGATGGGGCTGGGGAGCAGCAGACGCCTGGACCCACTCGAGAGGAAAGCTACAAAAATGTCCTCACTGTCGGCCACGTTCCACCCGGGGTGCGGGAAGCTGGACCCTGCGCCCAGGATCAGCCAGGGAGGTGATCTTGGGGCACAGACTCAGGGAAGAGAGAGCCAGTGTGAGCACTGGGGACTTGGGAGCTCACTGAGGCCCAGACTGTTCACTAAATGCCCGCTCTGGGTCCCGACTGTGCTGGCCCAAAGTATTACGGTGTTGTCACCCTGTGTCCCCTGCGACCTCGTTCTTCCTGCAGTGGAAGCAGGTGGTTGAGAGGGAAGAGTTGGAAGTGAGGACAAGGCTGTCCTACCTCCTGTGCTCCCTCTGGAGGGTCCTGTGTGGCCTTTGTGAGTCCCCAAATAGAGCCCTTCCAAGGTGGCACCTGGCCCTGGAGCATGCCATGTTCTGAATGCAAAAGGGTCAGAGAAACTGCCGTGACCTTGGCGAGGGGCTCCTCAGCCTCACACCTCGTGACTTTCGGGGAGCAGTGGGATGAATGTCAGTACCTGTCTCACCGTGTCCTACAAGCAGGTGAGCTCCAGGCTGCGGACGACCGAGTCCCACCCATGGCCCACTCCACTCATGCTTTCTGTTTCTTGCTGTAGCTCCCGAGTACCAACCAGCAGGCGGCCGACACCAGCACCCAGGACCCAGACGGCATTGCTGGCCAAGGCACACAAGGTGATCTTACCCCGTCAGGACTAGATAAGTTTATAGTTTTCCAAGGATGTCTCTTTTCCTCCTCATGCTGCTCCCCTCTGTCCATCTCTGTGAAACCCCTAGTCCCAGTGATGAAAAGTAGCCGAATGAGCTCTCTAAGGCGTTCTCAGTTGAATTTCATTTTGTAGCAGGTGAACACGATACAAACATGCTACTAAGTTTCAGCACCTTTGGTCACGTCCACCTTTGATCAGGTCTGTTTTTAGTTTATTTTTGTTTTTTCCAAAATACGTTTTTATTGATTTTTTAGAGAGAGAGGACGGGAAAGAGAAATAGAAACATTGATGTGAGAGAGGAACATGGATCAGCTGCCTCCTGCACGCCCCCTACTGGGGATGGAGCCTGAAACCAGGCATGTGCCCTGACCGGGAATCGAACCTGGGCCTCTCAGTCCCTGGGACGATGGTCAATCCACTGAGCCACACCAGCTGGACTACTTCTGGTCCATTTTTTTCTCTTGCAGTATTTTTTTTTTCTTTTTTTAAGATTTTTTGTTGATTCTAGAGAGAGAGGAAGGGAAAGGAAAATAGAGAAATATCAATGTGAGAGCAAAACATCAATCGGCTGCCTCCCATACACGCCCTGACTGGGGATCAAACCCGCAACCTGGGTGTGTGCCCTGACCGGGTATCGAACCCATAACTGTCTGGTGTACATGACGACGTTCCAACCACTGGACAACCCGGCCATGGCTCCTATTTTTATTGTTATCAAATTGACTAGGTTTTTCCTTTATAGTTTCTATCCAGTTTGCTAAGTCTTCCTTCACCCCAGGGTTGTACTTGTATTTTTGTAGGTTTTCTTCTTCTAATCTTAGGAAAGGATTCGCGATCCTCAAGAATGTGTGTGGGTGCGTGTGCCGTGTGAGGTCCGGGTCATCTTCCTGTTCTTCCCCCTGGTCTGCTCACTGCTGCAGGACATTTACTGGGGGGGGCAGCGGAGACAGGCCGTGGGGACAGCTGCTCAGGCCGCAGTGTGCCAGCAGGTCCCTGGGGTGCTGCCCTCCCCGCCCCAGGTGCCTGCTCTGAGCAGGCTGAGAGCAGGGTTCGCACACGCATTGGGGTATCAGAAGCCCCTGGGGCTTGTTGAAGCCCTGCTGGCCAGGCCCACCCACGGGGTTCAGTTCAGCGGGGCTGGGTGGGGCTGAGTCCGAATTCCCACATATTCCCAGTGCTGCTGCAGCTGCGCACCTGGCCCGCTCTGGGCACCTGGGCTGGCACCGCTGCCTGGGGCACAGGTTCCCGGGCCCTCCAGGGCCGGCCGGGACGCCCCGTGTCCCTACTGTTCTCTGCGTGGGCCCTGCTCATTCGTCCTGACACCCCACGTCCGGAATGTCCGACGTGCCGAGGGCTGCCCTGGACGGGGCGTGTCTGGTCTCTGACCTCTAGGCACGTGGAGTGCGCCCCACCCACCCCTCCTGGAAGGATTCTTGGGAGATGACCTGGTCCCCCACCTTCCTATGTCACAGAGCACTGTCACCCTGCTCAGTGTTTCTGCACCCCAGTACAGGGTGTGTCCAGGTTTGGGGCCTGAAGGCAGGTGCCATCACCCCGGAGGGCTCCCCTCTTCACCCTCTGCTCCGAGGGCTGTGGGCAGACACGGTCCCTGCTGGGGCGTGCGGGGTCACCGGGCCAGCGCTGACGTGTCCCTGGTCTTGCAGCACCTGCCGACAGCACGAGCCTCCCAGCCTCCGAGGGTGTCACCGCGCCGGGCCCAAGCCACCTGTCCCCCGATGGCTCTATGGGTGCCCAGCCACCGGACCCTCGCCCCAGCCTCACAGCCCCAAAGGGCCCCAGCCAGGGCACAGGGGCACGTCAGGGTCCTGGCCGCGTGGCCCGCTCCACCAGTGACCCCACCTCATGCTCGTCCAGGACAGCAGGTACGGTTGAGCCAGCCCACCTGTGTCCCCAGCATGTGCCTCGCTGTGCCCTGAACCCTGCAGGCCTCAGTGACCCCTGCATCTAAGGCCTGGCCCCGGGACCCGTGCCCAGGGGCCACATCGAGTGTGTGGTCTGATGTTCTTGGTCCCTAAGGGAGGTGGGCAGTCTTGGGCCCCGCCATGCCGCCCCTAGTCTGCTACTCTGGCCAGAAAGGGGAGATGGGAAGTTTGGGGTAATGAGAGCCCATTAGGACCCCAGCACGAGTCTCCGGCTGCACACCTGCTCTGGGCCCCAGGAAGGGTCGAGGGTCAGGCTCCACCCAGGACAGGCCTGGCTCTGCACCTGGGTCCCTGCTGCACTGGGCGGGTGAGAAGGCTAGTGGTCGGAATCGCCCACACCACTCTGAGTGGGCAGTGCCCACCTTGGGCTGTGGGACCTGGGACCAGAGTCCCTGTGCCCTAAATTCCAAGACTTGGGGTTTTTTTGTTTGTTTTTTCTTTATTGATTTTAGAGAGAGAGGAAGGGAGAGGGGGAGAGAGGTAGAAACATCGACGAGAGAGATCGATTGGCCGCCTCCTACATGCCCCCCACTGGCGACCTGGCCCACAACCCGGGCATGTGGCCTGTCCGGGAATGGAACCGGGACCTCTCGGTGCATGAGACCACACTCAAGCGCTGAGCCACACTGGCCGGGCTGTTTGTTCTGTCCGGAGGGGAGATTGGCCCCATGAGAGCTTCAGTGTCTGGCCTGCTGGTTGGAAAAATACCGCAGACTGTCCAGCATGTGTTCCTTGTGTGTGACCTGAAACAGGGACAGGGCACGTCGGGCTTGAATCTGGTTCTCGGTGAGTGGGTCACAGCTGATGCCTGTTGCTGGCTGGCTCTGGGAATATGCCACCAGACCAGTGTTAGTCCAGGGGCCATCGGGGTGGCCGTGGGCCCTGCTGGGGGCTGGTGCCTTTTCCCCACCTTTGGCCTGCTGGGCACGGGGCACGGGGCACAGGGCGCTGAGCTCTGCTGCCGTCCACTCAGGACCTCGTGGAGGAGCTCTCGTGGGGACCTGGCCTGAGGCAGATTTGACCCAGGTACTGTCAGCCCACGAGGGCAGTGGTCATTGAGCTGGGAAGGCTGAGAAGGGCCCAGCCCCACTGTGAGCTCAGAGAGGGGACGGAAGGGGACCCCGCCCTGCCCTGCATGGCCTTCTCCCTGGCCGGCTCTGGTTGTGCCCATCTGCAGCCCTTCGGCTCCACGCAGCCCCTGGTTCAATGCCATCTTGCTCAGAGCTGCGAGGGGCCAGGCCACACCGGGACAGAGGGGCCACAGCAGCAGGGACATGCCCACGCGCCGGCCGGGGAGCCAGAACTCCCGGCAGAACGCGTCCCAAGCACGCGTGTGTCGACGGGAAGCTGCCTCTGTCTCGCTCCAGTTTGGGTTCTTTTCCGACATCATCTTTTCCCTGATTTTTAGTTTCGCGGTCTCGCTCCATCACAGCTGCCTGTGCCCACCGGCTCCCGCCTTCCCCGCCCGGGGCGCCGGACTCCCGGAAGCTCCAGCGGCAGGCAGAGCCAGAGGCCTTGCGGCTGGTCTTCGGTGAGCACCTGTTCGCGGACCGCAAGACCTACACGGACGCCAGGGCTCTGGTGGCCAAGCTCCTGGAGCACTCCAGCCGGCCGCTGCCTCCCGAGGTGCGGCACGCGGCGGGCGCCATCCGCTCCGCGGTCCCCTCGGAGGAGAGCCAGGTGGACCAGGTGTGAGGCCGCCTCGGGCTCGTGGGCACCGGGCCTGCTGTCAGCACGTCCTCGGCGCCGAGGGCCTCCGGTGGCTCAGGGGGACCGCTGCTCTCTCTCCTGGGGCGCCCAGTCGGTGGTCTCCTTGGGGGAGGACACGTCCTCCCCAGTCTAGTACCGGAAGGACCGTCCCTCTCGTGTTCGATCTGGTCACGCGGGGCATGCAGCACCTCCCACTGACCAGCGTGCGGAGGATCTGGGCTCAGGTGACTGTCGTGAAGACACTGGGTATTTCCAAGACCAGGACTCCCCCGCCCCCGACTGGGTTTGGGGTGAAGTGGACAGAGAGGACATCGAGGGATGCGGCCATTTCCCCCCGTGGTTTTGTCACTCGGCCAGTGTCCTTTTATCACATGCTGACGTTGAAGAAAGCTGGTCGTCTGAGCACAGACGGCGGACTTGGCCCACTTTCTGTCCTGGGCTGCGTCTGTCGTGCTAACGGATAGAGGATGGGGACCCCCTGTGGCCGGAGCAGACAGTGTGGCCAGGGGCTTGGTGGGGGCGGGGGCTCCATCTCTCTGGGCCCTCCCTCTGTGGGGTGCCTCCCTCCTCCTCTCCCCACTGTCTCTAAGAAGCAGACACGTGTTACTGAATCCAGAACGAGAAGCACCCGTGACGAGCCCCTGTTGGGTTTTCTGTATCAGCCCTCAGACTGGCCTGGGAGGGGAGGTCTGGGGACGAGGCCTGTTATCTCCCAGGTCCTGTGTCTCCTGCGACGGCAGGTCTCGGAGGGCCCAGCCAGGCGGCCTTGGAGGACGCAGGTTGGCAACCACTGATTTGCACACCGCCCCTCCCGAGTCGGGTCTGCAGAGCGGCAGGCCCGCCTCCTCTGGGCGGCAGCTCAGCTCCAGCGCCTTTACCTCGGGCACCTCGGCCGCCCCAGCGGCAGCCACTTCCCAGCGACGGCCCTGGAGCAGCCGGATCCTCGAGACTCTGCAGCTCGGGCAGCGCCGGTCCCGTGCCACCCATCAGCACCCGGACTGTCACTGCGGCGGGTGGCCCCCGCATTGGGCAGGCAGCAGCGCCCGCGGGCCTGGCGTGAGGCCTGGACGGGCACCTTCGACTGCCCACGCCCCGCAGCCCGGGGTGCCCTGCCTTCTGCTCCGTGCCCCGCGGTGGCCCCTGTGTCTGTGTTGTTGGGAGCCGAGAAGGGGAGCTGGGGTGCCCAGCCCAGACGGGGGAGCCCTGCTGCAGCCCCAGAAACAGGTGGGGGAAGGGAGCCGCCTTGATGGGTGGCCACGCCCCCCCAGGTGAGACCTGCGGTGCCAGCCCCGCCCTCCCTCCGAGAGGATGCACTTTCCCCAGACACACGGGAGGTGCGCATGTGAGCACTTTACTCCGACTCCAGCAGGAAATCCGCTCTCCAGTTTTTCTCAACAGAGGGCTTTTCAGGTCCCCGGAGCAAGTCCCGGACAGGCAGTTAGGTGGCGACTTTTCCAAGGGGCCTCCCCTGACTTTCCCAGAAGGCTCCCCGTGCCCCGCCCCCCCACCGCGCTTACCTCCGGGGGCTGAGCTCCCCGTGCCCCCCGCCCCCCCTCGCGCTTAGCTCCCCGTGTCCCCCCCCCCGCCCACCCCCGGGTCCAGCTCCCCGTGGGGGCCCCCCCATCCGCCTCCGGGCAGAGCTCCCCGTGCCCCCCCACGCCCACCTCCGGGCTGAGCTCCTCGTGCCCCCCCCCCACGCCCACCTCCGGGCTGAGCTCCTCGTGCCCTCCCCCCACCTCTGGGCAGAGGTCTCGGGGGTGTTTTATCAAGCAGCCGGGGTGAGGGCCGCCTGGGTGACCAGCCTGGTGCTGTGCCATTTGCTTCTCCCTCCTTTGTGCCGCCCCCTCCGCCCTTCCCACAGCCCCTTGGGGGCAGGTAGCTGTCTGCTCTCAGAACCGGCCTGGCTGCTCAGGGTCCCACGTGGACCACAGCTCCCGGGAAAGGTCCTGGGGACACAGAGGTGCCACAGGGACACGGACTGGGCCGGGGTCCCACTCCCACTGTGGAACCCTCAACCCCGCTCTGCTCAGCGGCATTGGGAACCGGAGCCCTAGACCACGGTGCGTGACCAAGGAGAAGGCTGGCTCCCTGCTCGGTGAGACATACTCTCCCCCGAGCTCTCTGGGCCGAGCACCGAGGGACCCCATCTGCACGGGCCTGGGCCCTGGGTGCCCCCCTGCCCGCCAAGCACATTTCCAGTCTGACCGGTCTGACTTTAAACAAAGACAAGATTCAGTGTGAATCTTTTTCTTGCTTCAAGTTTTCTTTTATAAAAGTGAATTGGCCCTGGCCCGGTGGCTCAGCGGTTAGAGCATCGTCCCCATACGCCAAGGTTATGGGTTTGATCCCCGGTCAGGGCACATACAAGAATCAACCAGTGAATCATCAATACGGGGAACAACAAATCCATGTTTCTCTCTCTCCCTCCCTTCCTCCCTCTCTCTCAAATCAATAAATTAAAAACAATTTTTGATTGACATTGATTTGTTTGTTTCTCCTGGGTAAACCAAACAATTTGATCTATTAGATGGCACACCTCAACAATACAGGTCTGCAGGATACATGTTCGTGTCTGGACCAGAAATGCACAAAATGTCACAATGTTCCTATTCTGTTTCGCATACTGAATTCACAAATCTTTATTTATTTCTTTTTTTGGTACGTGCCCCTCGCGGGAACCAAACCCAGGACTCTCTGGTCCACAGGCCGACACTCCAGCCATTGAGCCAAACTGGCCAGGGCTGAATGAACAAATCTTTAAAGAAAACCATCATCTGTACTGTGTTGATAGGACTCATTCCACATAGTAATGTGAATTATTGAGCGTAAGAGATGTTTTCCTTCTCTCTTTACTGAAAACTACAAGTAGAAGGGGAAAGAAACAAATGACACCTTGGTCGTACAGGATCCTGTCCTGGGAAGGTCTGTGACCAAGGGGGACCAGACCTCAGCCAGCTGAACAGGGCTTCTAGGACTCCGGAGCCACCAACCCGCCCAGCCAGAGGGACAGCCTTCTGAGGGAACCAAGCCCACCCAGGTCAGGCTCGGGGACCTCAGAGAGCTGTCCCTGAGGCTGCGTGGTTCTCCACGCCATCAGAAAAAGGACGCAAGTCAGGATGCGTGCTTTCTAAGCGAATAGACTGATATTGGAGTCTCAAGTACCTATTTGTATTTACAAGTTGGATAAACGGTAAAATCAATTATGTGTAATTAAGCCCACTAAATGTTGGCCTGTCCACTTTTCTGCAACACTCACCCGTTATCGTAACTTAGATATTTACAAGCAAGCCATAGGGAAATGAAACGATGGTGTCCCTTTCCTCGTGCCTTAGACATGGGCGGCGGACGTCCGATGGGCTAGGAGCCATCTGGGTGGCTGTCTGGAGCCTTTGGGGTATTCAGATCCTGTCTGTCAGAGAGTCTGTTCCTGCAAAAAAGGGCCACTAAGGCTTCCCACGGTCCAGGTTTTATTCTGGCTCCTAACGCACGTGATGTGCGGGTCCAGAGAGCAGACGAGGGCCCCTTGGGTTTGAGCGACTGCAGACGTCCCTCCGCAGGGAACCACAGCTGGGTCTCCTCCCTCTTCCGAGTTGAGGGTCTCACTACCGACTGTCTTCTCTGAGACATTGTCCATGCACCTGCTTGGGGCTCCGACAGAGCAGGACGTAAGGACAATTCCATGGCACCAACCCGTGACCAGCTCTGCTCCTGAGATCCACTCCTGTAGACCGTGGAACGGGCCAGGAAGTCCCCCCGTGGCCCGGCCACGTCCTAGAAGGCGCGGCATCAGGATGGGGTTTGTAAATGGCAGGGGACACAGTGCACAGAGCACCACAAGGGAAGAAGGAAGCAGGAAGGAAAGGCTATAGGGCTTTTCAAAGGCACCAACACCCAGGTTGCTCCCACATTTGTCCGATCATCAGAGGCTTCGTTCTCGCCCTCCAGTCTCCGGGCTCCGCTTGGGTGAGCTCCGGTCCTCGCTGTTCTTCGGCCGTGGACGCGTCTCGGAAGGTGTTTCTTCTTCAGGTGTTTCTTAAGCAGGTGACTCAGTGCTGGGAAGAAGCTGCCCCAGCCCCTGGCCTCTTGTTTCTCTTCTCAGAAGTGACACGTTGCTGGAGACAAGGCGATTCCAAAGTTGTATGTAGAAGGACGAAGGTTATTCGGTTCATAGTTCTCCAAACGAACAGCCACTGGTTCATTGAAAAATGGATCACAGCAAGTCATGCACAGTAAATCATTGTTTTGGCTAGGAATGCAGGGATAGGCTTTTAAAAACAATGTTTGTACTGATTTTAGAAAGAGGAAGGGAGAGAAAGAGTGAAAAACATCCGTCTGAGAGAGAAACATCAGTTGGCCGCCTCCTGCCTGCATCCTGTCTTGCAGTTGAACCCGCAACCTGGGCATGTGCCCCGATGGGGAATCAAACTGGCGACCTTTCGGTGCACGGATGATGCTCAACCAACTGAGCCACACCAGCCAGGGCGAGAGGGGCAGTTTTTAAAAAGTGCATGTGGGTATTTTTTGGGTTGTGGGGTTGGAATAAGTACCCACCTCCTTTGCAACGGATAAAAACAGGTTTCTTGGAAACTCAAAGAGCGGGAGCAGAATTCTTTCCAGTCACGCCCTTCCCCACCGTGGCTTGGGCTTGGGTTTCTCCTGGGTTTGGGAGTCACCATCGAAGGCGGTTCTGCGGACTTGGACACTCACCAGTCAAACTCGTCTGCTTCCTCCCGGGACCTGAGCGCACCTGCTCCACACACTGGTCTGGGTCTGAGGTTCATTCCCCCTGAGCCTCTCCACCTACCTCACCAGTCCCACAGGGTGATCCCTGGCACAGAGCCGATGGCTGTCTGATTAAGACCTTCTGGGGGACCCTTCAGAGGTCAAAGTGCCCCCCCAACCTCACCACACACTGCCCCTCACTCCTCCACCTCGGCTTTCTGGAAGGCAGCCCCCACCCTCCAGTGCTGGGCGCTGACCCTGCA